TACCAACGAATAAATATACTTATCGGAGACGGCTTTTATATACAAAATCCTTGTTTTTATTCAGGTCGAATCAAGAAGAGCTCGAGTGAGTACCTATTGGTCCAAGATCAGGAAGCTGAAAATGAGCACCGTAGATTTCAGCAACATAACCACGAGATTTCCCGTCAAGTATATCTATGGAGAAACGGAATCCTTGTGGTATGACAGCAATTTCACCAGGAGATACCAAAAGCCTTCCACACTCCGTTTCAATCCATAGCCCTAGACACCCACTCAATCTATCAGAACAAGACTAAACTAAACTAAACATTTACGATTAATCATAATTCCTTCCCAAAAGATGAACTTTGTAACAATGGGTAAAACCAATCTTGAATAAACCTAAACTTACTTCCTGCCTGAGGAACTAACAAGAAGTCACCATCAGCGTTGCAAAATGCAGAGTCTTTCATTCCTTTGTTAGCCGTGTACCTTCAAAGCAAAGAATACGGGATCATTTCTTATCTATCACTGATCTAAACCAAATCATTTAGCACAAGAGAAGAAGAAGAGGAAGAAACCAAATCTATACATGTGAATTGCGAATCCATGGCGAAGAAACGAGCTCCCAGCTCCACAAATAGTGTATAACCCATCAACGAAATCAGTAGGCGAATCAGGAATATCCTCAGGCCTCCAACGAAGCTGAGTCGGATTCGTACGACTGTTCGATGCATCGAATTCACTCACGAGCTTCGTATGAGCAGGAACTCGAGGCTTGAACGGTTCGTGAGTAACCGATGGTTTGATCCGATACAACCAACTTCAAAATCAGATATGAAGAACATGAAAGCCAAATTGAAAAATAGGACCAAACACAGTTGCTAAAATGGGTCAAAAATAGTACAAGAACCTTCGTTGATTGAGCTTGCGAGGGGAAGTGAAAGAAGTGCCGGAGATCTGCTCGGCGTAAAGACCGTAAGGACAAACAAGAGGACTGTTCTGATCTGGCGGCAAAGCTCCGGCGATCGCCTCCGACGAGAAGTGGTTACCGAAGCCTGATTGATACTCTAACTCTGCAAGCTTCTCTCCCATGGCTTCTTCCTCTAATCAGAGGGAGTGAAAGAGACGATCGATTGATATAACTCGAGGGGTGTTGCTGACGTGGCATGTCGATCTCAGAGAGGAGGAAAGAGACGACGTCTGATTTTAAAACTCCTTTTTTATGTCCAAAAATAAACAGAGCCACTTCCTTTCTAAAATTCTCCAGCGAGGCAAAGCATATACGTAACTTATCTATCTATTAGTTGGGCTTTGGTATAAATGAGCGTTTATCAGGCCCAGTATTTGTTGTATGCTTTTTGTAAGTCAAGGTCAAGCTATAAGTGACAAGTCCTATCATTTATCCCACATCGGAAGCAGAAGTCAGATTGGTAGGTCTCGTGTAGATATAAAAAGAAGAGGCTTTCAGTCTTTAATACTCATCTTTGCGCTTGGGGCAATGACGCAGCTAATGAGGTACTAACCGAGGCGCGTCTATTGCTGGTTGAAAACTATTTCCAAACCCCCTCCTAGGCCTGAGCTTGTCTTGGGCCTTCGAGAATTTCTGGAAGGGCTCCCTCCGGGGTAAAGCCCTACAATTCTCTTCGTTCAAAATTGCTTAAAATCTCGCAGAAGACTTTATCTTCGTTCGTCTTGTTTATTATCCAGATGCTAATAAAGCCAAACCGGCGGTAAATTACCCAAGTTTATATACATACGTCTGATGGAAAATAATTATATAATCCCACGTCATATGAAGGTCCACAAATTTTTAGTCTTTTTTATTTCAGCATTTATTTTTCGGTGGGAAAATTCATGTACTCAAAACCTTTTTTTGGCATAGTTTTATATTTCGAATGGAATAATCTAATATTTAGAACATAGGTTTCTTCCGTTATTTAAAATTAGTGGTGCTATAGGTGAACACTTAGTAAGGAAGAAATTTGAACTACAGCTTCTTTTTTTTCCAGAGCACTATAACTTGAGTTGTTGTAGGCATTAGCAAGTTTTATTGGGTTTTGTATTTTGTTATCCATAAAGCCCTGATATCGATGCATCAACGGTCAACTTGTCAAAATATCAAATGCTTGAGATCCCACATCGGTTACATTAGTCAGAGACACCCAATCAAATGGATTATAAATAAGATCCAGAGCTCAGCTTTTCCTTATCACGGAGCTGTGCAGTGAAAACATAGCGAACAATTCTTTCGCCTTTTACTAAAGAATACCGTGTTTTCTCTGCTCATCAGCGACATACGCTCATTTATGGAAAGGGTTCCTTCAAACAAGAACCCTCCATCAATTCTTTAGTTTAATATTTTATTTTATTCTATACAGTTTTAAGTTTTCAAATTACAATTTTATTTTGTTAGGAGTATGCCGTATGCGTACTCCCACTATTTACCATTGACTTTTGTCTTTTCTCGTTCCATTCGATGATCTTGTAAAGGTTTAATTAAAGCTTATACTGAGCATCAAATGTAGAAGTTCCAAACCATCATCCTCTAGCTGGTATAGATAATGTGTTTAGAGAATGATATTCTTTTGCTAGTGTTAATGAAAATATACATCTTCAACCACAGATGAGTATGGATGGTAGATTTTTGCAGAAGATATTGAATAGCCAAAAAGTCAGAACAGCGGAAATGAGACGACCAAAGTCAGAACAGCGGAAGATTAATAGCCCATTTTTGAAAAGGGCTTTTAAAAATGAAAACTCTCCATTAATCTCTGAGTTTAAAATTAAGTGAAAATTCCTCAGACTAACCTTTAAGGTTAATGTATTGACAAACTTAGCCTAACATATTCATCAGCTTACTAGACTAACCTTAGAAAGTTGGTGTTATACCATTTTGTCCAAATAATCAATATTATTACCTGATTACCATTGTAATTTAAAAAAAAACTTCAAATTATATACATACGTATATACACATATATACACGTATATACACAAACATTTCCCTAATTCTAAAATTAGAAATTACAAAACAAAAAAAAAACTGTAAACCCTAATCCGGCGGCGACGATATAGGCGATTCGGCGACGTTATAGGCGATTTAGGGTTTTTGGCGGCGACGAAAGGTTTTTCGGCCACTCATCTGGTAAGTGTTTCACATCAGGGTTCATTTCTCGTCTCGAACAAGTTTTTGTCTTGGGTTTTCGGGGTTATGTCGAAAACTGTCTACGCCTTTAGTCGCGACGGTTTTGGGTGTCAACGGTGGTTTCGCGCTAACGGCGGAAAAGAAACCATCTGTTCACATAATTTTACTCAGAAATCGTAACCCTTTTCTTATTTTTTTCAGGGAAGTATTATTATCGGCGGTTTCCGTCTTTGGAGAACGGTTTCCAGAGACCCTACACGATTTTCGGCGAGTAATTTCTGGTCGGAGTGGTTCGGTTCTAATTTGTTTTTGGTAGACTTTTCAGTAGTTGTTGCATTTGGTCGATTTGTATATGTGAGGTAGATTTGTTTTCTATGTGAGGTAGATTTGTTTTCGTTTCATTGTCTTGTTTGAATAATCAAAGTATTGTTGGTAGAGTTATTGTTGAGATTGTATTGGTAGATTTATGTATTGTTGGTTGATTTATTCCATGTGTGATAGACTTTTGGTCGTATTTGGTAGAGTTATATACTATAGTTGCTCCCGGGTTTGGTAGATTTTATATTATAGTTGCTTTCGAGTTTGGTAGACTTGTTCATGGTAGATTTGTTTTCATATGTGGTGAGTAATTTGTGTTTGTAATGATTGTGGGTTTAAAATTGCGTTTGGTAGACTTACGAATTCTATATTTGCGTTCTCTCTTTGTGTGTGGTAGATTTATGTATATATTTGGTAGATTTGTGTTGTATATTTTCTTTTCTTTTATTTGTGGTAGATTTGTGTTCGTTTTGGTAGATTTGTTAATGTTTTGTGGTAGGTATTCTATAGTTGTTGTCGAGTTTGGTAGACATGTGTTTGTTCATGGTAGATTTGTTTTGATGTGTGGTAGATTTGAAAGATTTTAATCTTACCTATGTTTGCAGACATTGCTTCAGCTAGCGGCTCAA